ATAAAAATTCTAATGAACTTTATATTAATTTAATATTTTGTAAATTCATTTCGAGACAAAGTCCTAAAGTAATGATACATTTCATACAATAGAATATAAATCACTTATAATTCAATTTAAAAAATAATAATTTAATTAATTTGTATTTCATTTAATTGATTACATTTGATAACTATATCCCAAACAATTGATAAAACGCTTTCTTGAGCTCAAGTGAACTGTTTTTGTCGACATTTTGTAGATAATAGTCGTCCACACGTTTCACATCCAATCCGTGGTAAACACTGTTCGATGTGTTCGTGGCCTCAATCAAGTCATCCAAAGTTATTGTCTCTTTCATAGGGTTTATGGTTAAGAATGTCGGCTCAAGACGTGATCCAAAGTAACCAAAACATGACATCGTTTTGTTAAATGTCGTAATAATAAGAGATTTTGATGGAAACAAATACTAACTTGTAAGACAAATATCCAGTGATATAATTGTCAAAACATGTTATCAAACATGGATTTGATCTGTAATTACATTTAATTTATTGCTAAATGAAAATAAACAAACATTTTTACGAATCACTTTATTTTGAAAGCACACAAATGTCACAATTTTCAAAATTAATTTTAATTAAAATATATATAAATCATAAAATTATTTATTCAAACATTGTTTATAAGCAATAATGTTAAACAATAAATAATTACAATATTTAATTGCTATTTAATTAATAATTAATATAAGTATTGATTTTGTTTTTGATAATAAATAATTTTCAAATTATATTTTGAAATAATTTCTAATATGATATAAAGATACAGATTAAAAAAACGATTGCATTTTAATTAAACATTTAAATTGTTTAGCAGTTAAATGAGTGCTCTTATGGTCTGTTAATTATGACATTTATATAAAACCTTTACATCAAGATTGCAATAATTTATTAAACAATAATACAATATTTATAAATCCAAACATTGAATTAAACAGTAATAGTAATAAATTTAAGAAATATAAAAATGATATTACATTTTAATATCAATTTATTTTTTATGACATTCTCTGACATGTCTTTGAAGATATCTATTGCTGGCATAACTTCCGCCACAATCCTTGTAATGACATTTAAATTGTTTAACAGTTAAATGAGTGGTTTTGTGATCTTTCAAATATGACATTTTATGAAAACTTTTGTTACAATCATTGAATTCACAAACAAATGGTCTTTCGCCCGAATGCAAGAGTTTGTGTTCATTGAGTTTTGCATTTGATATAAATTTTTTGCCGCAGTTTTCTTCATTGCAGTTAAATTTATTTTCATTTAAATGAACAAAGTTTTTGTGTCGATTTAATTTGTATTTTTCAGTATAACTTTTGTGACAGTCATTGAAATCACAAACAAATCTCAGTTTTAAATGAACGCGATTTTTATGAGCGACCAAATGATTGGTTTGTTTGAAGGTTTGCTTACAATCGGGAAAATCACATTTAATTAGCCTTTCATTCAAATGAACATTACTTTTGTGTTGAGATAAATGTGAAACTCTTTTAAAGCTTGCATTACATCCGTTAAAATCACAGACAAATGGTTTTTCTCCCGAATGATTGCGTTTGTGTGCATTCAGTAGATATTCATTAGCGAATCTTTTGTCACAATTTTTTTCCTTACATTTGAATGGCTTATCATTCAAATGGATATTACATTTGTGTTGAAATAAATCTCTCTTTCGGGCAAATTTTTTGTTACATTCATTGACATCACAAATAAAACTCTTATTATTTAAATGAATGGTATTTTTGTGATAATTTAATGTTTCATTTCGTTTATAACTTTTATCACAAAAATCACATTTAAATTCACGTTTTTCTGAATGGATTTCTTTGTGTTGTTTTAAGTGGCGTTTATTTGTTGTCTTGTAATCACAATTAGGATAACAACAGTGAATATATTCATTAGATTTAGTAATTAATTCATTACTTTTATATCTCTTTTTATTCAAATGAATCAGATTTTTGTGTGATATTAAACCTGTTATTTGTTTATAACTTTTATTACAATTATTAAAACCACATTTAAATTGTTTAATATTTGAATGAAGGAATTTGTGTTGAATATAATTGTTTTTATATAATGTCTTGAATTGACATTTAGGCCAAAAACAGTGCAGTTCTTTACCACGATTTAAATGAACAGTATTTTTATGTTTATTTAAATATTGTTTTAGTTGAAAACTTTTATTACAATCTTTAAAATCACAAACAAAGTTCACATTTAAATGAATGCTATTTCTATGGCTAATGAGAGTTCTTTTGTCTTTGAAAACTTGATTACAATTATTAAAATCACATTTAAATGATTTTATTACTGAATGTATTAATTGATGAGATGTTAAATTTTGTTTTGTCTTTGCCTTGAATTGACATTTAGGCCAAAAACAGTGCAAATTATCATCAGATTTACTAATGATATCACTTTTAGGGAGCATTTCATCACTGATTTTGATTGAATTGCAATCAATTGTTTGAACGATTGAAATATTGTCATTATTTTCACAACCAATCGCTTCACACAAAACACTATTATTTGAATCAGATTTCTTATGGCCTATTCCACTAATGTTTTGTCATGCGCGAATTTTAATACTGTTTATACTACTCCTTTCCCCTAAAATTGGGGGCAGAATTTAACCCCCAATGTAACCCCCAGTAGTAGTGTAGTATAAACAGTATTAAAATTCGCGCATGACAAAACACTAGTGGAATAGGCCATAAGAAATCTGAATACAAAATACCTTTCATTTTATCTATTTTTTCACAAAATCTCTTGATTTCAATTAATTTGCAAATCATTTCATTTAGAGAAACACTCATTGAATTTGAAGACATTTTGATAAATAACTTAAACACACATTAAATAAATATTTGATATGAACTGAAACTAAACAACACTTAAAGCAATTGAATGAACGAAACACTCGTTAAATTTAATCCAATTTCCAAACAATAATTGAAACAAATGTTGACTTCATTTGAAATGATGTGAAACTGAATGCAAACCTAATGTCAATCCAACGGCTATTGTAGTCAACGCTGTTTATCGACTATTAATGTCAGTTAATATAAGCAGTGCTTTACATACGCTATGATCGCCCTCTCATGCATTGGTTTGAACTCTGATCAGTCAATCATTGATTGGACGATACAATAAATATAATTGCATTTAATGTTTAGATTTTAAGTGTTTAGTTAGAGATAGTTTATAATATAGGATTGATTGCAACCAATTTGAGTGCATTTGAATGGTTTGATGTGTGAATGAATTGCATTTATGTGTTGTGTTAATCGAGATTTAGTTTATATTTTATGTCGACATGTAATATGCTTTTGGAGATATGTAATTGAATGGTAATTTAATTAATCCAACGGTATATCACTAATGGTGTTTCACACAGTGTTAGGGCTAATCACCAGTACTGCATACTATATGCCGTATGTGTTGACACAGTTTTGACTAAATTCCGTAATAATAGGAAAGAGGTTTTTATTGAGACAAACATGCATTGAATTTGAAACACATTTTAATAAATACCATAATGCCCTTCAAATTATTACTTTTATTTAACTTGTTCATTTAATAAATACAATTTTTAAAAAATTATCAAAAAATATCTTGATTAAATTTACAGTAATGTTTATGAAAAATGAACATATTGCTTCAAAACATTTACAATTATTGGAAATAATAGACATAAATCAAAATATTATAAATATTGTATAATTATTGGGCATTAATTGCAATGAAATCAATTAATTACTTCTATGGCAATGCTTAATATGACTTCGTAAATATTTTTTACAAACAAAACGTTGACCACAATCATTTATAATGCATTCAAATTGTTTTACAGTTAAATGAGTATTTTTATGTTCCCTTAAATCGGACTTTTGTTTAAAACGTTTATTACAATCATTGAAATCACAAACAAATGGTTTTTCGCGCGAATGAATGAATTTATGTCTAATAAGATCTGATTTACGAACAAAACGTTTGTGGCATTCATTGAAATCACAAACAAATGGTTTTTCTCCCGAATGTCCATATTTGTGTAAAATTAGATTTACTTTTGAAGTGAATTTTTTGCCACAATTTTGTTCATTACAAACGTATGGATTGCCTGTCGAATGCCAGCGTTTGTGTAAAATTAAGCCATGTTTTGTGGCGAATATTTTGCCACAATTTTCTTCATTACATTTGAATTTTCTTTCATTCAAATGAACATAACTTTTGTGTTGAAGTAAACGACGTTTTGTTGAGAAACTTTTGTGGCATTCATTGAAATCGCAAATAAATTTTACATTTAAATGAACACTATTTGTGTGTATTTTAAGATCTCCTTTATTTGCATAACTTTTATCACATTTATTGAAATAACAAACAAAAGCCTTTTTACCCAAATGGATGCGTTTGTGTTGAAGTAATCTGTAATTTGAAATAAAAATTTTGCCACAATTTTCTTCATTACATCTGAATTCAGTTTCATTCAAATGAATACAACTTTTGTGATGAATTAAATACCGTTTTTCAGTAAAACTTTTGTGGCATTCATTGAAATCACAAATAAATCTCATATTTAAATGAACAGCATTTTTGTGCTTAAATAAACTCCCGGATTGAGTATAACTTTTATTACAATTATTGAAATCACATTTAAATTGTTTTGGTTTTGAATGAATTAATTGATGTCGAACTAAAGCCTTATTCGATTTTGTCTTGTATTGACATTTAGGCCAAAAACAGTGGAAATAATCATCAGATTTAGTAATGATATGACAATTGTTTAGCAT